CTGACTAACCACGGTTCACAGGTCTCCACAAGCCTATAATATATTATAATATAAACATCGAATGTCTAGATTACAGCTGTATTATACACACTTAGAAGAAAATGTTTTTCTTTCTAATAACAATGCATCACTAACTTAAAGTTAGTGTTAAATAAACTTGAGCTAAATGTTATATTTTTAATAAGAATTTAATTTCAATTAAGGAGTATCCTCAAGGTTAAACCAACACCATACAAATAACGAACGAAATGTTTCTAATTTAAGGAATTGTATTACTTATTAGTTATTATACATGCCAGTTTTACTTAATATCTAATAATGATGGTTTTTATTTTAATGATATTATTTCATTATTTTTTCGTTTAAAATAGATTATAGAATTATTGCTAACATACGTTAAGTTGAAGACTATATTTTGTGAAGTTGTATTGAAATAAAAAATGTTTTCATTAAGTTGATAGTCTGTTATCTTCCATTCAACTAAATAAAAATATAATATAACTTGAAATCAGATTTGCAATTATATTTATGACTAACTGAATCTCATCCGATAATACTGCACCTGCCTAATTGTCTGACGACGGGACTGCAAGTTGATATCGGGCATTGCTATTGTTTAGGTTGTGTAGGGTTAGCATTATTTCAAAATTATATTACCAGGGACACTCCAACGATTGCTTCTCCGTAAAAAATAATCCACATTATTGTATAATCCATAATAGATACAGTTGGGCATTGGCGGCTATAGTATCCAGCCTGCAGCAACTCGCATTTCAAAGATTTATGAAAACCATTAAAAACTAATCTATTATCATGCCAATCGAATATATATTTTGTTAAAAAAAAAAAACGTATAATTTTTAGCTGTATGTGTGTACAACGTATAATCGTTCGACCTATAATTGTGCAGGCATCGACAGTCCCTAGTCGGTGAAATGGGAAGGAAAACGTTGTTTATTTGGACTCAATGACGTAATTTTTCGGACCGAATCGGGTGCACTGATCCGGTGCACCGCGGGACTCGACTGTAATACGCACACGTCGTCGTACACACGTGCAGGTCGATCATCGTCTTATTCAACTGCTACTCCGCAGTCGTGCACTCTGTACACAACACAATATAATGTAACAATATAATACTCTGTATACGCTATAATATGCCACCCCTACTTGGATCGTCTCCGGCGCGCGTGCGTATCTGCACAGAGATAATATAGCCGCCGCTGCCTCGAACACCTGTACAATAAATCATCGCCTCCGTTCTATACACAGACATCATTATATAAAACGTATACGATTTTTCCGGGCCGTATCGTTCGAATGATTGACGCACTAATTTGCCTCGTGCATTACAATACCTACACCTATATACATATAATGGGTAATAATGTACACCAAACGCGTATAGGTACCTATATATGTATATATATATATATATACATATATGCGCGTATATTATATTATATTAAATCCCGTCCGCAGGTCGTCGCCGCGCCTGAGATCTGACACTATATATAGCCGTATAATTGTACACCCGACTTGACTGACTTCGTGAGTCGACTACACGACGTTTCCTCCTGGTAAACGAATTTTTCCCATTCAACGGGGGCGCCCATATATGTGTATATAATATCGTATCGTAAGAGTTCGTTGAGCGCGCAGGTCCGTCAAGATAGTGATGTGTGTATATAATATAATACATGTATACGTATGTCTAATATCCGTATTCTGCTCTGCGAATAAGACTCCAAAGTGGTATCGAACAAATACAATAATATGTTTATCACACGTTTTTGGCGTTTTTGGATACCAAACTTTTTGTCACGGAGAGGCCTTGTCAGACCACGAGTCCGTCGTTCCAGGTGTTGTGTACAGGAGCTACTACAATCACCCGTTCGCTGCAGTTCAACATAATATATATATATATATTAAATTTGATAACGATTAGATACCTAGAGTGTCCGATCTGTGAACTCTGTGACAAAGAACTGACCGTTGAACACGTCACACTATAGATGTCCCAAGTTCAACGGCCACGAACAAACTCTAGGAAACCCAACAACGATCCCATCCCAGATAATTATATTTCGTTTACTCCTTCTACTGTTAATCATAATGCGTGTCCCCATAGCTTTCAAGACCATTTTATATTTTTGTAATTATCTCAGGCTAATGTTGAAGCCTTAGTTACTCAATTAAAAAAAAAAATTAGATACCTATATACAATATCGAAGATTTGTAAAGTTCGTTTTGATAATGAATATTTATCGAAATCCGATTTTTGCAGCTTTTCTTCGTTCTACAGCTGTTTAATAAACCGCATTTACGAAAGATGCATATTTTGCAATGTACAACACATAGGTACTATATATACATTATTGATCGACGGAAATTCGACAGCGCACTGAGCAGCCCGCAGTCGAGGACTTTGATTGCGTTAAGGGCTCCGAATTTCGCGATTCGCGTCTTTTATTTGACGTTCTCGGGTATGTGTATACGACGTACGAGTATTATATTATAATAATGTGTACCTGTATGTATACCGTTCATAATAGTCGCCGGCAAAATAAACACGAAACTCGCTGGCACATTTGAAGTGGCGGCTGTATCGATACGACTTAAATAAGACACAGAGGTACCTACACCAACATGCATATAATATATAGACACGTTAATATACAATCTCGTTGTATGTATTTATATATATATATATGTAGTATCCTTCCGTCTGTCTGACTGTCTGTTTATTTGTTTTTTTTTTTTTTGTTTGTTCGCAGGTGTATTGTACACATATGCACAGCAATATTATATATCTTTGGGTCCTGTAAACGCCGTTCAAACGGTAAAATTGTACTTTGCATAAGCATAATATTATGTATTATATTGTAACGACTAACGAGTACTCGCGTGTGTCATTTTTGAACGAATAGCGTATACCTATGATTTGTGTGTTTATATTATTGTAGGCACTACACGACTCAACAATAATTCAATTACTTATGGCCATGCATAAGGATTCGTTGTTCGAAAGGAAAAAAAAAGAAGTCACTCGAACTGCTGTGTACTGCACATGGAAATGCAATATTATATATTATACTCATCGTGTGTTATAATGTACACACTTCGTAAATATACAGTTTTTCACATTTAAATATTTAATATATTATTCAATTTCGCTAAAACGTACGGTGAATGCTTGAAAGTTTAATCACTTCAACCGAAATATATTATTGAAAACAAATATTAGTTCTTTTTATATTATTATTATTTAAAAGCTACGTATGGTACACATTAGACCTGTAAAAAACGGCTGAATGGCTTTAAATTCCTTACAGTTTATTGTGCAAGCGAACATTTTAACACATCAAAATAATCCAACCCAACAGTATCGGAAGGTTTTGTATTATTGCGCGAATTCAGAGTACTTAGTATAGTTCTTGTCTGTGCCATGGCTCAAACTAATTAAAGAAATACTTTTTACTATTAAATACTATTAAATCATTTCTACTTAACAGGCAGTTCGCTGTTAAAATAAATGATAACACCTCAGACCTTATGCCTATATCTGCTGGTGTACCTCAGGGCTCTAAGCTTGGTCCCATACTATTCAACATCTATGTTTATGATATTCCCTAGTCACCTCGTACGAACATTGCCCTTTTCGCAGACGATACTACAATATTCACAGAATCACGTAACATTGAAGCAGTAACCACAAATTTGCAAGCACATCTTCATGAAATATCCTACTGGTGTAAAAAATGGCGTATTCAAATGAATGCGTCAAAAAGCACAGGAGTTATCTTCAGTCTTCGTCTTTACCGCTCCCCTGCACAACTAACATTTAACAATGTAAATATACCTTGGAGCTCGTCAGTAAAATACCTCGGCTTGACATTGGATAAACGGTTAACATGGCAGCCCCATATCTCATCCAAACTTCAACAGGCTTATCAGCGCCTCTCTATGTTATACCCTATCCTCAATAAAAAATCTCCAATACAGAAAAAATGCTCTCTTCTAATTCTTAAACAAATTCTACGTCCACTACTCACTTATGCGTGTCCGGTCTGGGGGAAATGCGCGTCCACTCACATCAATAAAATTCAAATTTTTCAAAATAAAGTGCTACGTATTATTGCCAACGCACCCTGGTTTATAAGGAACTTAAACCTACACAAAGACCTTCAAATCCAGGAAATCACAGACCATATTAAAACCTCATCAAAAAACTTCCATACCTCACTGCTCAACTCCTCTGGCTCACTTCACTATCAACTCCACGTACATCCGCCTCAACGTAGATTAAAACGTGGACGTCTACACGACCTTTTAGTGTAACAGTTCCACTTATACAGTAGCTGTTCTACTTGTAGTGTCAATTAAGCTATACAATTTGTCATTATTATATCTGCTATACTATCTATTGTAATTTTATTTCAATATTGTTATTGTTATATTTATTATTATTGTTATTGTATTATTACACTATTCTTAGTATTATTACTTAAATTATCATATTCTTATTGTTAAAAATGTACCATTATAATATCATTAGATGTAGATAGCCATGGCTAGGAACATCTTATATATTATAATTAAAAAAAAAAAAGAAAGAAATATCGAATCTCCTAGGTATTTAAAAAATGTATTGCAAACAAGTCGTGTTGCGGTGATAATAGGTGCCGTCCCATTGTAGAACACAAACAAATACCTATTTCATTGGCGGATATCCATCGAAAAATGTGGGGGGGCTGCAATTTTTTTTTATGAACCAAAGCCGCGGGGGTGGAGACTACGCCCCCACACCCCCTCGTTAATAATTTTAAACAATATTTTAATTTAACATTGAAATAATTATACTGAACAACTGAACGAAATATTTTGAATGAAATGACTGTCTAATTATTTTTTTCATATTTAAAATTTAATACTATAATCTTACATAACAAATAATAACATAGTTTAGGTACTGTAGAAAATAAATAGGTACTATAAAATATTTGTCTTAAATGTTTTATTTTAAAACCATCATCCTTGAGGATTTAGAAAATTCATTTAAAATACATTCAGTATCCATATTTTTTGTTATATCTTTCTCTATATGTAGAATAGAAAGATTTGTAAATCGTTCTTGATACATAGAAGTTCTCACCCACGTCTTTATTCTTCGCATAGCCGAAAAAGACCGCTCGCAAGTTGAAGAGCTGACAGGTAAAGTAAGTGCTACTTGAAGCATTTTATAGACATTTGGAAAAATGTCTTTTTTTATTGATGTTTTCAAATCGTCAATAGTCAAATCATTGTTGATTTTATTTATAAAATTTCTGGCAACAGTCATTTCAGATTTAATGTTTAATTTGTTAATATCCAATAAATCCTAAAATATAAAATAATAAAATATTATTTTTGCATTTATGGTACTTTATACATTGTTTACATTTATTTCAAAATATAAATAGCTAATATAAATATAAATATTAATGTGTTTAATATAAATAAGTATTAAATATAATATAAATAATAAATAGTACCTTATAATGATCAATAAATATTAAGCTTCCTTCATATTGAAGTTGCATGAATTTATCCACAGAAACAGCCAATGTTAAACTATCTGGAGAAAATCTTTTTTTTAAATTTACAATTATTGAGTCTAATATTTTATAATAGATATTGGATCTATAATAGTCATGCACAGACTCAATTGACTCGATTGGTTCAGCTGCTGCGCTTGTTGATGTAGTTAGTATGAAATTGTTAAGATGAATTGGCTCATTTCTTTTCCTCTTACCTCGTGCTTGGTATGGAATTTCAATTGTAACATTATTTTCATCTGCAAATTGTTGTATCGACTGCCAAAGATCAGTAAAAGAATCTGGAGTACGAGAAGTTTCAAAACTTGTTATAACACTATTGATTTTAAAATTTTAGTTACCTTCATTTTTGGCTGAATAGGACCTGAATTTAGGTGTCCTAAATCATCGATAGTCTGTCTGGTATTTATAGTACTGACCACATCAATGGAGCAAGACGCAGAGCTAGACGTTTCTGCCTCGACGGGCTCGACGGGCTCGACGGGCTCGACAGCCTCGACGGGCAGCACTTTTTTTTTTATGTTAAAAATACTAAACATATTTTTTAGTTTAAAGTAAAAACTAAAAAAGGCAATAGCCTAATAATAACAATTAACAAACTAAATACTAATATGCCGTACGGCGTACACTGCAAACAGTTGTTTGAAATAACAACCGACAAGTTACGTTATTCAACACGACAACACGACGTACTATTTACCATTGACAAACAAAACATTGCTACCTCTCACACAGTTACAGGCAGCTACGGAAACAGGCCACTCGCCAACATAATTGACACAAAAGACGACAGTTTTGGATTTCCCTAATATTTATTTTTACACGAAAGATAAGAACACGGTGTCACGGACCACGGTACCTCAATAAACTGTTGCAAATAGTTATTAGTTAATAAAAATTTAACGGAAATCATATCATCATTCAACAGTGCTATGTATGTGTTCTAAATTATTTATATACAGAGTGATCTAACGGGTGTCACCTTGTATAGGTATATAATATAATGAAAATTGTCTCAACATTTTTAACTGAAATGTACAATATATATTTAAAAAAATGTTTCTTAATATTTTTTACTGAACTGTACAATATTTTTATAATATGGCAAACATTTTAGAGGGGGCTTTGCGGCTATCAGGGGGGGCTAAGCCCCCCCAAGCCCCCCCGGATATCCGCCAATGACCTATTTAGCACAATTATCGATTCACCCCTTAAGATATTCAAAGCTCAAAATTCTGTATGTATCAATATTCGCGCGAATAGTAACTATACGTACCGACTCGTATCGAAGTCAGATCCATACGGGTGCCAAACTCACTCGTAACTTCTCGAACTCTCAACATTGAACCAATATATAGGTACGTATCCAATGATCATCGATACACTTCAAATTTGAAATTTCTCTCTTGAAAATCTTGCAACACAGGTGAAACTATAGGGGAACACAATGAGTTACACGATTTAAGCTACAATACCTATACCTCGGTACTCTTATATATCTTGAACAAAAGGTCACACGAATTTACACGCACTTATATTTTTATTGGAATGAAATATAACTGTATTCCAATTTAAAACCATGATTAAATTATGTGAATTGAATATAATATATTTATTGTTCCAATTAGGTATGTTTACTCGTTAACTTATCGTCATTTTGTTTTTCGCGTTTTCCTCATTATCGTCGATATTATCGATCTCCGATCGATTAAATTATTTTTTCATTCGATTGTTATTTTAATAACTCAAGTACCTTTACCTATTTATTTTTCATCAATATTACAAAATTAAGGAAAGTGATAATTTACAAAGCCCGAATATATATAGGTATTCCTAATTTGATTGAAAAACCTCCTCCATGCCACAATTAAGCTAATTGAAATATTGAATTATTAAAAACTAAAAAGTATTAGTACAGCAATCCTCATCGACTATATAAAAAATTAATAATTAATTTGAAAAATATATTGTTTGAGCATTTTGCCAATATCTTACTAACTCATAACAGAATTTAATTAATAATAATTAATTGCAATGAACCATTTATCATGAAATTGAAAATAATAAACTATATGAAAAAAAAGCGTCTCGGACACAATTCGTTTAAAAAGAGGGCTGTACAAAAAAAGGTCGTTCAATCGAAAAAAAATGTCCCAGTTCCCCATCAGTCATCCACTCGAAAGTGCACCGGTATAGAGAAACATTGTTTACTCGCATCGTTATAGGTACTATTTGTACTATGTACCACATGGAGATATAGAAATTTATGGCATATGTGTCACACCTATTATAACATAATATAATCACAGCTGCATTAAATCCTTAAAAAATTGAATATTTAAATCCTAAATTCAAAATTACTTTAAAAAAGGATTTAGAAAATCAAATCGGAAATTCGTGAAACTATACGATTTAAAAAAATCAAAAATTCAAAAGATTTGACGTTTTACGCCTAGATCTGCAATCTGCATATTATATACCTATTGTATGTGTGTGTATGAGAGTGTGTACCTACTATGTTGTATAATATTATAATAATTGACGTTAAGACGTGAATAACAACCACGTTCGCGGTTCGGCTGACGTTCTAATTGGACCTGCAACCGCGTGTGGGTCGTAGTCGCAGAATATAATATAATATAATAACCCGTTGCGCGTATATAACGAGTTATAACTTATAACATATATATATACATATTGTTATATTATAATAATCGCGGCGTATGTGTCTATTGTGTACTCACCGCGGCGAAGGAGTTCACGAAAGACGGTGAAAAGAAAAAAATATGAGAAAATAAAAACGCAATGTCATTTCCCTTATATAAATATATATTATAGGCACTACATATCACTGTGTAATATTAAATTACGTTTTATACTCGTCGTACACATATTTCGGGTCCGTCACTGCTTGATCACCGTCATTTGATCGTCTTCGTCTTCATCGCCGCATTGTAAATACATATAATATTATATTATTATATTATTAGGACGGGGGACGCAATGGTATTTTAGTTAAATAATATTATTGAAATAAGCGTACATTGCAATAACATAATATTCCAAGCTCATAATATGCGAAAGTCAGTAAAGGTATATAGGTTATTTCTCTCTACAGCACGAACTCTTCCCTAATAGTTTCATAGTCAATTTACTCACATAATATTGTCTCAAACGTAAAAGTCGATAGAAATGAAAATTCTCTATTTAATTATCACCCTTAATATTCTGCATTGTATTAATTCCAATACCTGCAGAACTGGCATGATATGTATGGTAGTGCGTAATAACGTAATATAATAGCATAATTTCCATTTTGTTTTATTATAAAAACAATACGACAATACATTCGTATTTATCTTGTATTTCCATTAAAATGAGAGTTTTAAATTTCTTATAATACCCGTCTTCAGACAATTTTTCGAATTCTGAGATTCTTAATCTTGAATTTAACTGGTTATTCCCTTCAAGTTGGAGTTATATAGCTGAAGAGGGTCTATACTCTGTATTGTATACTCAATATCTATATATGGCTATAATATATCTATAAATATTTGCTTAAAAAATATACACAAATTTAATTTCACCTCTGGTTTTTCACCTCCACCATTGAAGTCAAAACGACAGAAGTAAAATAACGTTTTCGTTTTGAACGGTGTGCATTAATTAATAATATCCGTAAAAGCGCCCAAAGTCAAAATTTTAAATTCAAGATTTTAAGTTTTATTAATACTTAATAAATAATTAGTTATTTGTAAGAATTTTTAAATACAAGTCGGTAATTTGTATGTTTGGTTGATTTAAATTATACACAAAAGTTTAAAAAGCTCGAAACTTCTCCATTTTTTCTCTTCCAAGTTTTTAATCGTGCCAAAATTTTACACGCAAATTGTAAGTATTTGTAAGCGCGAATTTAAAATGTCTAAGTCTCCCTTAACTTGAGAACGTTTAAAAAATAATTTAGCCGTACTTAATAATATAGAGCTTTTCAAACATGGACAGTGCCAAAATATTGTGTGCGTTTGGTAAGTACAGGACAGAGCTGCAGTGAATCGGGCAAATATCCAATAAATATTTAGATTCGAAAATCCTCTGTTTCACTACCACATCCTGTGCTTGCTGTAGCGTAAATTGAAAATGTGTGTGTCACCTCCCAACTTTAAACATCCCTGAAAAATAAATTGTCCGTGTTTCATGAGCGTACGCGTTCACGAACGTTTTGCGCAGAGTATCATATCGTCGTCGACGGGAACAAACCTCTTATGCAAACAAAGTGTAGTTTACGGGAAACATTTTTTAAATAAAAAAATCACATATATCGGAGTTACTTCATAAACGATTAATTGTAGTCAACACTGGCTAACATATAGGAGAAATAATTTATTATTTTTCAGTAATTCTACGTTGCGTATAGGAGATTTTATCCATAAATGGCTTCTTTTCTGAATCCGGGGACAACAAAACGGCAAAACCTCAAAATCATAAATTTCGCTCACATGACGTTGTTAATTCCCGTCAACGACCATATACTATGAACAGCGTAATGTAGCGATATTCGTGCAGTGATCCACGAGACGTGAGAACGTCGGTCCTATACATTATTATACGCGTATGATGATTTACGGCGTTATTTCGTTGGAATATTCATTCGACTTCGGTCTCATCCCGCCCAACGTAATGATATAACCTCCAAGTAGGTAGGTACATATAATATCTCGGCCTGCAGTATATATGTTAGGTATACATTTATATTTTACATGTATATATATACACACACACACACACATATATATATATATATATATATATATAATGAATACATGGTATATATGTTAGAAATATACATATTATGTATCATATATAATATTATGTCCCCCGTCTGTGTCAACCTCGTCAGACTCGCGGGACTACACCTACCTATATAATATGTACGAGTACGGCGATACGACAGAAATCGGTTACGCGATGACTTTCCGCTTTTTTTCTTCGAATCTTTTACATTTTTTTCACACCGGCGTACATACGTATATGCCGCAGTCCAACCGTAAAAAATTCTCATTTCATTCCGCGTGCGCTCTATGCATGTATATATATATTATAACAGCTGGTCTGACGACGGTCGGCGCGACCATAATATTATTATCGCGCAATATATAATATTTATACGCACAATACATGCATATAATATAACTACCCGGCCACAATGGACAGTTAAAGTCTCCGGCTGCGCAATACATACACAGACGCAATGATCGTTTCGGTTTTTTGCGCAGAAGTATTGGGCACACGCGTCTATATACCTATATACATACATACATACATACATACGTTAGTAATATACCTGTATATATCATGTTCTAAATTACGATACACAATATATATATATATATATATACATACACACACGTGTATTATGTTATACTCGCGTCTCGTCGTTATAATATTATGTCTTGTTCGCGTTCCCCTCTTCGACCGTGCGCACTTCGTATACACATCGTCTCGGTCGTTTGAAATCTTCGAGCGGCCGGTTATTGTTATTATATTGTTATTATTATC